GGCGATGTTTTGGCAAGCATCTCTTGGCTATACAGAAAACAGTTCTTAAAACTGCACGCCCAGAGCAGAGTTTTCCCTCCCTCTCTCCTCCACCCCCCTCTTTCTGAGGACGGCAGGCGAGGAGCAAACGCTGGGTTTATTCATCCCTTCTCCATTGATTGCAGCGTGCGTCACCGACTGCACGGGTGTGGGAGGTGCAAGCGTGCCTCACAGTCAAATCACCAGCCTTTCAGCTTAATAACACCTCAGGGGGGTGTAAGGCTCTCTTCCCCTTTTCAAAATAAAAACAGGAGAGGAAATAAATGTTCCAGCAATATAAACCGAAAATCAGAAAAAAAAAAAACCAAACCCAAAACCTCTCCATCATTCGCCCCCCCCATACTCATCCTTTTCCTGCCTATCTCTCTACATTCTGCGGAGAAGCTCTAGGAGCAATGGCATGGTGCTGACCTGTGCTTCTGCTTTAGACTCTCAAAGGGAGATGAATACCACTCAGAATGACTTTTCTTCTGTTCTCCTTTAGCTGCTGGTTGATGCAAAAGCCTCCAGGAGCATCTGGTGATGTTGTTGGGGTGCTCCTGCACTCCGAACAATGACTGATGTGAAGAGAGTGAAGCAGTGGTGTGCCTGTGTTTCTTCTGTCTCTGTATGTGAGCAGATGTTCTCGCAGGTTGACAGATTGTTCTCTTGCCTTTCACAGGGCCCAGCCCAGTCCATGCTCTCAAGGCAGAATATGTTGGTGCAACTGCTGTCACCTTAACGTGGGAAATGAACGACACAGCTGCCAGCTCCTACACGTACAAGATACAGGTTGCAAATGGTACCACCTCTGTTTGGAACCTGACGTCCAACGTCACCCGATCTGAAATTACTGATTTAATTCCTGGGACATTGTATACTTTCACAGTATTTGCAGCAGTGAATGACAATCAGACGGAAGGAGAAGGAGTATCCATACTCCGCTATACAAGTAAGGAAATGGTATCTCTCCATTGTATTAAGGGTTTGTACCAAATTGCCCTGCTTCTTCGTCTCGGGCTTCCAACTTTGTACTATTTCTCATTGTGATGTTGCTTTGCTCCAGATGCCTGTGAGCATGAGTACCAAGCAGTCTTTGGTAAAAGGGAAAAGGATGGAGATTGTGTGTGTCTGCATGTGTGTCTGTGCATTGCCTGTAAAGCAGTTACTTCATCAGCTTGGTTACTCAAGGCTATGTAGAGATCCAGTTGCTACAACAGCATGACTTTCTCTAGATTTGAGGGCTGAATGAACCCCTAAAATGCTTCTTAGAGCAGGTTATCACAGCTTATACCAAACGACATGGTGTGCAGGGTTGTGATGGCCAAGATCACAGAGGCTTTTTGTTCTTGAAGATTTTGAGCTCTTTGCAGGGTCCCTGGCCTGGGGCTTCTTTGGGCTATGACAGTGTCTAGAACCATGCTGTTGAGTGTGGTGCCATTTTTATTGGTTTTGTGGCATGGCACCTTTTTCCCAGCTCAGAGGGGCAGATGGGAGGAGAAGATCTTTTCTTTGTGTCTAGCTCAGGAGTGGAAAGAAAACAGGCAACATCCTTACAAAGCAATTAGAAGCAGTGTGTCCCAGAGCTGCTGCTGAATAGGTGAGCTTATCTAAGCTGCTGACATGAATCTTGGCTGCCTAGTGTTGGTGCTGAATCAGGGTTGCAGACAAGAGCCCCCAAGGGCGGGTCGGCTGTTGGACCTGATGGACCTGCTCAAGGAGCCCATTTTCTTTTATTATCGTGGGGGAAGTGCTAGGCTGAATGGCTCAGATTGAGACTCATAGGCACAATTTTGAGTTAGCAGACCAAAATCACCCTGCACTTTGCTTCCTTCTCTGATTTCCATCTTTTTCTCTATCTGGAAATCCACTGAAACAAATCATTTTAGTATGTGAAATGAAATAAAGAGAATTTCCCTGAGAACTCCTGTGGCCTCTCCAGAGATGCCCCAGCATGAATGTCTGAAACTGAGCATCGAAGTAGAAGTGCTGCTTGGCCACAAGTAATGCTTGTTCTCTGTGGCATAGAGAAATGTGGCTGTGGCTCTTCTTTCTTTATTTTTCTGGCTTTACAGATTATTGTCTTGTCTTTCACAGGGCCCAGCCCAGTCCATGATCTGAAGGCAGAGTACGTTGGTGTGACTTCTGTCAACTTAACGTGGGCAGTGAGTGACGCCAATTCCAGCTCCTACACATACAGGATAGAGGTTGCAAATGGTACCACCTCTGTTTGGAACCTGACGTCCAACGTCACCCGATCTGAAATTACTGATTTAATTCCTGGGACATTGTATACTTTCACAGTATTTGCAGCAGTGAATGACAGTCAGACGGAAGGAGAAGGGGCATTCATAGACCTGTATACAAGTAAGTCACAGTTTCTTACAGCTCTGTTCTGGTGAGGTGTATTTTGCTGTGCATCTCAGGGCTCTGCCTACCTGCCTGAGGGTTGTAATTTAGTACTGTTGCAGGCAGAGGTGATGTTTTGGTCCTGGAGCTGGCCAATCTGCGAAGCATGAGATGTTAAAGTGCTGAAGCAGTATTGCCTTGATAGAAAGCTGTTGGTGAAGTTGGTCCCCAAGGCTGACAATGCCAAGAAGAGATTTTTCCATGAGAATCTCTATCTTCTAAATTTGGTAAAGGGAGCTGGTTTCGTTTCCTAGAGTATGAGGTTCTTAGACTTTTATTTTAAGGGGGTCTCTCAGCCTATATTGCACTCGGGGAACTTTTGTAATTTGGGGACACATAGGTTCCGTTAGGCTGCACCAGGAGAGTGAGGTTTGGGCAACACTAGTTCAGGAGAACTGCTTCGGCTGTGTTGAATATCAGAAGTCTGTACATGTGTTGTTGGAGGGACCATTCTGGAGCTGGCCTGCAAGGCTGTAGCCCAGCCTGGTCATTCTAGAGGGTGTATTTGAAGAGAAACAGATGCCTGTTCTTGTCATTTGTGTTGTCGTTAAATGTAGTTGTATTTGTGCTCCTACCTTTGCAGTTGATTCCCAAAAGTATCTCCTGGGCTACCTGACCGTAACGGCTAATTGCTCTGTTTTGAAGATGCACAAAGAATAGAGTGCTGCAGAGAGGGTTTTTGGAGATGGTCTCTTTACCACAGGAGAGAGCACAGGGCGTGAGGGTTGGAGAAGGAGCAGGGTGCCTGGATCATCAGCCTTGTTCCTCTTCTAGGGATATTTGATGTTCCTTACCTTTTGCTGTACAGAAATGCACTGCATTCCCATTTACTCTTTTCTCCTTCCTGCCTATCTCTCTGTATTGCCAGGATAAACTCTGGGAGTGCTGGCACCATGGTGACCTGTGATCGTGCTTTTGAATGTGAAAGGAAGAAGAATTGCACTTTGGCTGCCTCTTTCTTATTTTTCGGTTACTCAGCCATTGATGCAAAAGCGTCCAGAATCATCTGGTGACGTTGTTGGGGTGCTCCTGTGCTCTGAACGATGACTGATGTGAAGAGAGTGAAGCAGTGGTGTGCCTGTGTTTCTTCTGTCTGTGTCTGTGAGCAGATGTTCTTGCAGGTTGACAGATTGTTCTCTTGCCTTTCACAGGGCCCAACCCAGTCCATGATCTCAAGGCAGAGTACGTTGGTGTGACTTTTGTCAACTTAATGTGGGCAGTGAGTGACGCCGATTCCAGCTCCTACACATACAGGATAGAGGTTGCAAATGGTACCACCTCTGTTTGGAACCTGACGTCCAACGTCACCCGATCTGAAATTACTGATTTAATTCCTGGGACATTGTATACTTTCACAGTATTTGCAGCAGTGAATCACAGTCAGACGGAAGGAGAAGGGGCATTCATAGACCTGTATACAAGTAGGTCACAGTTTCTTGAAGCTCTGTTTCTGGTGGGTAGCTCAGGGTTCTGCCTACCTGTCTGAGGTCTGAAATATAATGCTGTTGTAAGCAGAGGTGCTATGCTTTGCTTGACTGCAGTCATAGATGTTGGTGTGGAAGAGACATAACATTCTTTTTCAAAACAAAGTAAAACAAAAAACCCTCAAAACCAGCAGTTGTTGAAGGTGGTCATCAAGGCCTGTGATGCAATGGAGGAACTCCACTGAAGAACTTGCCTCCCTGGCATGGGATTTTTGGGCAGTTTTTCTGCCTTCACTTTTTGAAGGATGTGGCTTCAGATCCTTATTTTAAAGGGCTCCCATACAGAGAGTGTTGTGCCCCGGGAGCTTTTGTGATTTGGGCTCCTGTGGCTGCCATTGGGCTGCCAGGAAGAGTGAGCTTTAGGAAGTGCTGGCTCAGGAGTGAGCTCAGAGCATGAAAGGTGACAAAGGAGCAGGGTGCCTGCATCATCACCTCTGTTCCTCCTTAATGATATTTGCTATTCCTTACCTTTTGCTGTGCACAGATATACCACCCTCTCTTTTCTGCACCTTCGCCTACAACCTTTCTACCCTCCTCTCTGTATTCCCAAGCAAAACCCTGGGAATGCTGGCACCTTGATGACCTGTGATCATACTTTTGAATGTGAAAGGAATTTGAAACCCACTTGAGCAGCCTCTTTCTTATTTTTCGGTTACTCAGCCATTGATGCAAAAGCATCCAGAATCATCTGCTGACGTTGTTGGGGTGCTCCTGTGCTCTGAACGATGACTGATGTGAAGAGAGTGAAGCAGTGGTGTGCCTGTGTTTCTTCTGTCCATGTTTGTGAGCAGATGTTCTTGCAGGTTGACACTGTTCTCTTGCCTTTCACAGGGCCCAGCCCAGTCCATGATCTCAAGGCAGAGTACGTTGGTGTGACTTTTGTCAACTTAACGTGGGCAATGAGTGATGCCGCTTCCAGCTCCTACACGTACAGGATACAGGTTGAAAATGGTACCACCTCTGTTTGGAACCTGATGTCCAATGACACCCAATTTGAAATTACTGATTTAATTCCTGGGACATTGTATACTTTCACAGTATTTGCAGCAGTGAATGACAGTCAGACGGAAGGAGACGGGGCATCCATATATCTGTATACAAGTAAGTCACAGTTTCTTACAGCTCTGTTCTGGTGAGGTGTATTTTGCTGTGCAGCTCATGGCTCTGACTACCTGTCTGAGGGTCGAAATACAATATTGTTCCAAGAAGAAGTGCTGCACGCAGCCTCCTTGCAGTCAACGATGTTGATGTGTGGAAGAGGGTTCTGTGGGAGGTTTTATTGCATTATCATCTTTGTGGATGAGGCTCTCAGGTCCTTATTTTGAAGGGCTCCCATACAGAGTCTGTTGTGTACCTGGGGGACTTTCCCCCATTGGAGGGGCCCATGGCTGCAGCTGGGCTGTGGGCAGCACTGTGCTCTGTGGCTCTCAGCCTCACTGCTCTGCTCAGCTCATCAGCAATGAGGAGAAGGTTGAGGTGCTCCTGTGTTCCTCATGCTAGGCATTGTGGCCATTTCCCCCTGCCCTTGTTGTGAATGTCAGCTGCTGTGTCCTTTCCTTCATTTTGTCCTGTTTTAACTGAGGTGCAGGGATTCTGTTCCAGAGCTCCTCTGCTGGGTTTCCAGACGTACCCCAGGATGAACCCGTTAAGAGGGTCTCTGGTACTGTGAAAGTGCTTGTTGCCTACTTGTAATCCTCAGCCTGTCCAACAAAATGTGGAAGCATGGCTGTGCTTTTTCTGTCAGTGTTTGTCAGCAAGTATTTGTAAGTGTTGATGGAGCCTCGTCTTGACTTTCATAGACCCCAGCTCCATTTTCCATGTCTGAGCAGTGTATGCTGGTCTCTGATTTTTTCCTGTGGAGCACAGATGGTGCTTCTTTACTACACCTACAGGACAGTGATCCAAAGTCATGGTTCCTCCTCTGGAAACCAGACACCCAGTGTCACCAGAGTTGTTACTACAGACAGAAATCCTGGAACCCTCTATAAGTTGACCATATTTGTAGGTGTAGGTGACAGTGTTACTGAAGGAAAAGAAATATTTGTAAAATGCAGTAGAAATAAGCCCCAGTCACTCATGTCTATCTTTTAAATCTGTTTCTTCTGGCAACCCAATTTTGCTTCTTCTTAGCTTCTTAAAATAATACTCCTTTTTAATAACAAAATAATTTAATTCATGAGTCTTTTACTTCTATGGTTGGAAGTACCAAATACCTCTTTATCAAGAGAGGAAATAAATTTGCTGTGTGTCACAGTTGTATAAGTTACAAGAGTTTTGGTCTTGAAGGCCAAGTTTTATAAGATGCTTAGTTTAGAGGGACTTCTCAATATTATTGCCACTTTTTTAATATCTTTTTGTATCTGGTCATAAGGTTGCAATTTTTATATTGTGTCCCATAGGACTCTTACACAAACTGACATGTTGTAGTTGCTGCTCTTAAGATGGCTACCTCTGCGCTCTTAACTCATGGAGCTTACATGTGTTTTCTTACTTTGTTGGCCACTAAGACTTTTACATAATTATACAGGGAGTTAGTGACAATCTACATACTACTTAAAAAATGTTCTTAGAGCAGTATGTTCAATGGCTGAACAGTATTTTGAAAACTTTGTTGATCTAGACAGATACTCAACCAAAATTTTCTCAGTAAACCTGTTTGCAGAGGAGTAAGCACAGAAGAGGTCTGTGTACTTAATGTGCTAAATACTTTTCTTCCTTATAGCATAGCAAGTCCTGGTAGTCTGTAGCTTCATCTTTTCAAAAGTGGAAAGAAATACTGAAGTTTTACAAACATTTATACACAGAACTTACAAATAGATAGCTTTTTCTATTTACTACAATACTTGATTTCTTACTTCTCTTTTTTTTTTTTCCCCCAGCTCCTTTGCCAGTGAATTCATTTCAGTGTGAATCAGTAGCCAACCAGTCTGTCCTAATGCTGAAGTGGGAATGTCCTTTTGGTAACAGTTCTGACTTCAGAATTTTCATATGTAAAGATGAATGTAAAGTACAACAAATTTCATCATCCTGCATGGAAGAAGGATCAGAGCAAACCATCCAAATAGCATCATTAGAATATTTCAGCACCTATAATGTTGCTATTGTAACTCTTTCAAATATTTCTGAAAGCTCTGCAGTACAGAAAATGTGTAATACGAGCATTACTGGTAAGCATTATGATTTGGGAATGAAATATATTGATAGCAACAAAATATTAACTTCACAATTACAGAATACCAAACTTGATATGCAGTACCTTATCAGCCTACAGATTATGAATAAAACACTGCATTCATGCAAAGTCTAATGTGACACACAATAAATACGCATTATATTAAGGCATTTTCTTGTTTGGATTTTTTTTTTTAATCAGTCATTAAGGTACTAAAAAATATTTCTTTTTATAGACCCCCCTGGCCCAAGAGAAGCTCCTTTAGTTAAGGCTATCAGTCACAACTCGTTGTCTGTTCAATTCTCGGATTTTGATTCAAAGCATGGACCATTAAAAGCCTATGCAGTAATGATCACAACAGAAGAACAAGGTAAGATACTATGATATTATCTTGTAGCTGTGTGAAACAATTTATCAGACAGCATTATGTTTTAAACTCTAAATAGGTGTTAAATGGACAGAGAAAAAGCTGACTCGGTATATTCAATCACCTTTCAAAAATCATGAGGCAAATACCTTGCTTCCTTGAAGTCACTCCTTGTTTTCAGAAGGCCTCTGTTTTCACTCAGCCTTTTCCAGTCTGACTTATCCTTGTACATGTCTCATATGTATTGCCGCTGTTGCCATCTTGACTTGCCACTGATTCCTGCCACAAGACTGTATAGTATCCTTTTTTTTTTTCTTCTCTTCCTCATCCCTCTCCCAACTCCCCTGCTTCCCGGAATAATTTCCAGAGCTGCTAATACAAGCAGCTTTGGAATGTGGGATGGTTTTCCCCCTTTTCCCCTTCGTTCTTCAGCTGGAAGATATCTGCAGTGAGATCTTTACAAAAAAACAAGTACAAACAAACAAAAAACCCAACAAAAAACGTACTTACTTCTGATTTTACTGAAAACACTATTAACTGAGAGAGAAGGGTGGCAGGTGGAAGGCTGGAATAGCATTGTCAGTGTTACATGTCATTGGAGGTTGAACATCAAGGAAAGCTAGAGGGTAGCCTATCAAACTCGCCTCTTTACAGCATCAAAACAGAGGAGGGTCTTTAATTGGTGAATGTCCAGTGCTAAATCATAAAATTAAGGAATTTACCTTTGCAGTGTAGGTTCTAGTTGAACTTCTTTTAGTTTCTGCCAGCGCAGTGAAGGAGCTGATGTAGATAGTTTTCTCCAAGTGCCATTTGACATTCATGCTTATCCTTTGTCTTAACACTGGAAACTCATTTTGCAGGAGTTGGAATGTAGATCTTTCTTCTGTGGTTTTCCATAGAATATATGTCCAAGAAATGTCCGTGTACATATATATATACATATATATATATATATATATATAAAGAGTACATCAATGCAGAAAAATTCTATTTTTCACATGCCTCCTAAGCTGCCCCAGAGCTGCTGATTTGAATGTCAATCTTTTGCACTCAGAAACAGCTCTGCTTGTACCCACAGCCAATCCCATTTAGTCTTGCTGAGATTCAGTGTGTTCTTCTGTGTGGTTTTGACTGCAAGATATTCAGGAAAGAGGACTTTCAAGATGTGATTGAGAGAAATTAGGAAGGGAGATTGCCTGCATTTATAACACAGAGTCTGACTGCTTTGATAGGAGCAGAAAACCATTCTTACAGCCAAGCATCACTTCACCTTTATGGTGTGGAAATAGCATTAATGTGCTTGAGATGTGTTTCTGTCTTAGAACAGACATCATTAGCTTTAGGATAGACAGAGGGGACTTTATTCAGTTGCATAAGCAATGGTGTCTAAGGCTGTTTGAAATGTCCTAGAGTGATATCCAAGACATCCACGGGGAGCTGCAGATATAACCCGGGATGTACATCCTTTTGGAAACTTAGGGAACAGACAGGACATATATCTCAAATAGTATTGAAGTATTTCTAGGCAACTGAGTTGATTGCAACCTCAGCTGCATTCAATGTAACCAAACTAGTGCTTTAGAAGAGCTGTCTTGCACCCTATTCCTGCACAGTTACAGTTGGTGAGAGCTTTGCTGCTGGTGGCAGATCAAACCTTGTCTACACAACTGTAGAAAGCTTATTAGAGCTTTTCCGCTTTCCAGAGCTCCGGCAAGGCTTCTCATTTTTAAAGGTGAATTAAATACTATATCTGCTTTTAGAAGAAACTTTTAGCTTTGTGAAGGCAGTCAGTAGAGAGCAACGTATGCAAACTTCAGTCAAATGAGGAAGATTCTTCTTCCTCCTGCAACACTTTGAATATTTACATCAGTTTGCTTGCTCTTGAGTTGTTGGACAACTCGTAATTTGAGCTTGTTTATTACCTTTTAGGTCACATATGCCTCAAGTGCATAACCACACCAAATTGCTAGGATTCATCTTCTAGCAACAGACAGTGTAAAGTGATGCTGTTCTGCAGATCGTGTCCTGTTGATCACAGACTGCAGTAGCCTGTTCTTCTTTGTCTTCTGGAAGAGAAACTTCTGATCACTGTTTTGTCCAAAGCTTGTCTGTGTCGCAAGAAGGCAGAAATGAACTCTTTCATCTCTTAGGTTGTAGGTGTGAGACTTCTTGTAAGGCACAGCAAAAAAGTAATAGGCCAGGGTGAGTTCAGTGTCACTCTGAACGAAGTAGCACAATGTTATCAAATACCAGTTGACTTTTTCCACACTGTTTGCATTGTACTCTCTACATTTGATAGTTGATAGAGCGTGTATGTACCTTCACAGAGAAGCTTTGCTATACATGGTAGAAGTAAAGCCAAAGAATAACACTGGGGACTTGGGAAGATTCCTGAGACTGTGTGTTGTACTCAGCCTTTCATTTCAGGCAGTATTTATGGAGTAATGACAACTGCAGTTGATGTTATCCACTGTATTACCATCTCAGCCACTGCAGCAGTTGATACAAAATCAGTGAATAATGTATACCACATATATTCTTGTTTTTTTTCCTGAAGATTGTAAGTCTTTGAAGTCTAAATTGAACAACACGTACCAAGAGTTCAAGAAGAAGATGGTATTCACCTATGTGACATATGTCGTAGATCCCCAGCAGGCAAAATCACCTTATTTCCATTCTCAAAACGGTACAAACATCATTAATGTAGGCAAGGGAAACACAATGTATGGCTACGAAAATGGACCGTTGTTTCCACTTCATTCATACAGGTATTTATCTCAAACCGTTGTTTCATTAATTTTGCTGCAGTTGAAATCTAAAAGATCATCTAATGAAAAGATTACAGATCTTGCTTAAGGCTGTTAAAACTGTGTAACATGCCTGGGTTTTTTTCTTCTCCTTTATCAACAGGGCAAGTGTTGCAGGTTTCACTAATATTAACTTTACTATGACCAACACCATTGCGGGGGAAGATAGTTATGTATCGTTTTCACCCTGTTCTGAGGCAGTTGTGCTACCCCAGGATCCAGGTAATAGTTAATGTCAGATGTAGGACTGGCAGCTTGCTACATACACAGTGTATGGAGTTTTCTTAATTATGGCAAGTTTCATAATAGCAAAACGCCCATTGGTTTCTCTGTGATTTGACTGTTTCTTTGTAGCTTTGCAGTGACACTGCTCTGTAAATCCATACCTTGCTAGTTTTATGGGTGACCTGTCTTCTCTGCATGTATGACTTCCACTGTGGAAGTACCCAAAAGCTATGCTACTCACACCATGCTCAAAGGGATTGGATGGTGCACTGAGACTTCGGTACAGAAACAAGTAGCAAAAAGCAGCTGATGTTCTGGTAAATTAGTAATGGTTGTATTGGAATGCAAATACTGGTTCTTTGATCCCAGTTTTTTATCAATTTATCATCCTTGGTTTATTATTCTTAATGAGCTATCAATACTGGTACTGCCAAAGGATAAAGAAAAGATGTTTAGCAGAGCAGAGCATGCTCTGTCACTTGCATGTTGATTGAGTTATATCTCACCAAAGAGATAAATCAGTAATGAGTAATAGTTGTTCTCTCTCGATCAGGTGTTATTGCTGGAACCGTTATTGGATGCCTTTTAGCTATCTTGGCCGTAGTCACTATAGGAGGTTTCATAATCTGGAGAAGGAGAAGGTAATGTGTGTTCATTACTGTATTTGTTGTGATGAGGAACACGAGTATTTCACTTCTTTATCTTTTGCATAAAAAGGCCTCTCTGTTTTATACATTCTGTCGTCATGCTTTGGAGCACATTCTATTAAAAATCTTGTGTATGTTACATATTAGAGTTGATGTATCAAACCAGTTAAATTACTTATTCAACACCGTAGTTACAAACTAATAAGATTTGTTTTGTTTAGCTTTTCTGAATTCATGCATGCTGATGAAGTAATTCAGTCAGAAGTGAGCAAAGATCACAAATTATTGTGCTACAAGACATATGTAATTGTATCTTACATGGTTTTATTTTTAATTTTCCATTAATCATGCTTTTTAATTGCTTGATGGCCTGTCACGTGAAACTTTTTTGAGCTGGTCTCTGCTTCCAGTATTTTCCAAATAATCTGGGACTTAAGAGTCCAGAAAGGCTTTTTTTTTTTCTGCTTCTGATCATGTGGTACATCCTTTCTAAAGAGTTAGCTGTAGGGCCGTTAGTCCAGTTACCTTAGTTTCTTTGATTAACTGCTATTATTTTTACAAGCATGTCCAATAGCTGTAGACCATGATGAGAAGAGCTTCCTTTAAAATTTACAACACTTATTTTCATTCAGCTACTGCTTTTGTTACCACTGTTGAACTTGTAGGGGTTTTCTGGGTTTAGTTGCAATTCTTCTGCGATGTTAGCTAGCGATGGAGATCCTTCAGATGTATTTCTTCTACCAAACTGTGTGCTTTGTGTTCAGGCGTTATACTCTGGTACCAACAAAAAGAAATAGTCCCATTGCACAGCATCACAGAATGAAGGATGAAGTTCTTCCTACTGCAGGTGTAAGGTTTGCCTCAGGACAGTATTTTGCACAGAATGATACGCTTTAAAAGAAATTATTCTGAACAGGCACAGGAAATAGCTGTCTTCAGAAATCTCATGTGCATTCTATTAAATTCTACTGTGAACCTATTGTGTTGTTTTCTTTTGCCTTATAGGAAAGATAAAAGAAATACTGAAGTGTCCTTTTCTCCAATTAAGTAAGTCCATATCTTTTCACACATCGTTTTCTGAGCTCAAGTGATAATTGCAAAACTTACTCTGGACCCTGACACCTGTTTTCTGTGCAGTTTTCTGTAGAATTTTGAAGTATTAATTCTTCATGAAATTTAAAGTCTCCAGACTGCAGACTGAAAATAATCATATTGATTGTGACTTCTAGAGCTGCCACAGGGCTTTTGAGTGCTTGCTTCATGAATTGCTATTAGACACACAAACACTTCATGTAATTTTGAAAACGAGGATGTTTGAGTGGAACACAGGCTTCCATGCATATTGAGGAAACAATCTGAATTGTTTATAAAGTGCACATAGGCAAAATTCTGCACTGTGCCCTGAATTTTCCTTTGGTTTGTGATTACTTTGTGCTGTGCTGTTAATTCGAATAACATTGAGATTGTAAAAGCTGGCCATGGAAGGGTAACCACGACATATTGGAAGTCACAGGCAATGCAACTGAATCACGTTATTGGTTCTTGCATCAGTTTTTGTGCTGATGGAAAGGCATGGCCAGAGCATGCCATAAGATCCCACATGTGTAGACTTTGATAGTTAACATAAAATACACCATGGAATGGGGCCAGTCTGATGGGAGTACACAAGTGGCTGACCAACACCTGTGATATCCTTCTCCTGAAGGATGTGCTGTTCTCTCCTTGGTTTAACAGATCAATTAAATGCTGTGCTTGATATCCTCTCCCCTGTAAATGCACAGTTTTGTGGCTGCTACTAACAGTCATGCTTTCATTCTTAGATTCGCATAGTGAAAAACACAGCTGCATGTGTCTAATCAACCTTTTTTTTCTTCCCCCCACCCTCCCCTGAAGAATCAAGAAGTAAGTAAAGCACACTTTCTAACACATTAACAGAATTCATGTTTTTTTTGCTTAATACCAGTTACCAATACACGGTTTTTCTCATTGTAGATCAAAAATGATCAAAGTAGAGAACTTTGAGTCCTATTTTAAGAAGCAGCAAGCTGACTCCAACTGTGGTTTTGCTGAAGAGTATGAGGTATGTGCCCTCAGTGGAGAGAGCTTCACAACAAACATCTTTGGAAAGGCAAATTAGCTTTCCTATAGAGTGTATATGAGGCTTACTGCAGGGGAAGACAAGAGACCTTTATTACAGCGATTACTTCTTTCCCTAATTCAGCTCCAAATTTAGTTGAGGCACATGATAAATACCTCACATCCTGAACCATTATCTCTGTCTGTGAGCTTATAGCATGGGCTGCTGCTCAGTGCTCTCACCAGAGCTAGGAGTCATTGCCCTAGTTGCACTACAGAGATAGCCTAGGAAAAGCTATTTAACTTCTCTGCACTTTATTTTTTTATATCGTTTTTCATTTTTTACACAGCAAGACAGGTCTGTTGCTTATATCACTGACTCCTTGAATGTGTAGGTGTGATTTACAAATGACACCTGTGAAGAGCTTGAAGGAGCAGTCAGAGAAACAGCAATTATGATTTCCTTAGCGACCGTAACTGTTTCTCTATAAAATGTGCTAAAGCTTAATTGTTATAAGGTACATAAGACCAGAATCAAGTGTCAGTAAGGATTTGTGTTGTCATGTCTGCTGGTAAAGAATGTAATTTTTTTTCAACTCCTTGAACTTCTTAATTGACTTTCTTCTTCTTTCCAGATCATATTCTGTCCCTTTTGTTGTACTTTGCAGGCTGGTGTTCCACCTTGCCTTCCTCTTGGGTTTTGCTTCCTTCAGTCCTTTCATGATATATTTGCTCCCTTTCTCCCTGTAACGTCTGCAAGGCTTAGAAGTAGCTCACTGTCTTTGGGTCAGAATGAGTGCGCAGTTGATGTCAGAATGTTGTGTATTTCTGCAAAACTGTTTCTGGGCTTTTAAAGCCCATCTGTGGGTTTTAAACATGCTAAAATTCCTACATTCTCTACTAATCCCTTCTCTAGCCGGTTTGCCACTGTCACCCTCCCACTCTGTAAAAAACTTATTTTTATCACCATTTATCCCAGTTTAACGTGCTTACTTTTACAGCAGAAGCCAACAGTGTTTGGAGTATTTGTCTGTTTCAGTCATGTGTTTCTGTATGACTCCTAAACCAGGACCTGGTGCTCATGGGGCCTTCTTTTATTGTAGGAACTCAAGTCTGCTGGTGTTCATCAGCCCAAATTCGCTGCTGAGCTTCCTGATAACAGGGGAAAAAATAGATATAACAATGTCTTACCATGTGAGTTACTCTCTTCAGTTTTGCATCTTCTGCTGGTTGACCTTTTAGGTGAAAAAACCTTGGGTTTGGCTAATCTGGTTTTAATAGTACTCAGAGGTTTCAAAGAGGGATTAATGTGGTCAATTTCTGAATGAACGAATTTGGACTGCTACTTTCCCAAAAACATTGTATAAGCAAACCTAAAGAGCTTTCCCTCAAGAACGTTCTCAAACTTTGCCTCAAGAAAGCTCCTTATAGAACTTTCCTATAATTAAATAATTTTAATTTTCCATTTGTGAGAAACTTGCTGTCCAGATTGAAAAACCACGAGGTTAATGGTTGACATACAGCTGTGCAAGAGCCGTAAGAAATATTAAGGCCCTACTGGTCAGCTTTGCAGGCAAAAAGCATAAGCCCTGCCAGGCTGCCTGCATGACAGCGGAGTGTAAGAAGGAATTGGAAGGCGAACAGTGAAGGGTATTTAGGGATGCTGTGGAGGCAGCAGGAGCCAAATTATCTATTTTTCTCCAGTAATTAAAACTGTAGTAAATATTGTGTTGTAGCAAAAATAGATATTAAAAATATATAAAAAACCCAAATCATTTTAAAAAAAAATAATATCTGTGTTGTGTATTCTCAATTTTTTATCTTGGCCACTCATGTTTCTGAAGGCTTTCACTATAAACATTTTAAACTACTGCTATTTATGATTTTTAAAGTTATATTCTTATCCTTAAAATGCACATTGTTCTAAAACACCTTTTATGTAGAAACTATGCACTAAATAAGCTGAGATGTTCTAGTTCCAACATTCCTAATTTTCTTTTCCTTTTTTCTTCCTGCAGATGATATTTCTCGTGTTAAACTTTCAGAACAAAACTGTGCAAGTGCTGATTATATTAATGCAAACTATATGCCTGTAAGTTGCTTCATTAGTTGAAATTAAATATAATGTGTATTTTTATGATGTAGGCTTAACAGATAATAATGTTGTTTAAAATCAGGTTTTTATGTCTCATTGATGCAAGTGTGTGTGTATACATATGAGTATATTGGTTTTTTTATTCTTCTTCTTAGGGCTATAACTCAAAGAAGGCATTTATTGCTGCACAGGGTCCTTTACCCAACACTATAGACGACTTCTGGCGCATGATTTGGGAAAAGAATATCTACTCTATTGTTATGTTGACAAAATGTGTTGAACAAGCTCGGGTATGTTTTTATTAAAACTGAAGCCTCTCTTGAAGACCGTTGGATCTTTGTTGTTACCCTAGTGGGTTGGGGACTGACCGCTTTCTTTTAACAACCATCCACTTAATAGAAGACTGTTTTCTAAATTGAATAAACTTAATTTATTTTTTTAGCTTTTTCCCCATTTTTATATCTGCTGACTGCCAGAATAGATTGTCTCTGGAGGGTTTTTGGTAGAGCTTCCTCTGTCTTGAGATATGTCAGCCTTCCCCGTGGCCTGCTTTTAGCCCTTCTTCAGGTGGTGTGTTATTTAAAGCTAACAGTTGGTCGCTTCATTGTTGTGTGTAATGTGTCTAACCTTGTAACCCTCTTATTAGACAAAATGTGAGCAATACTGGCCAGACAAAGAATCCAAGAGCTATGGTGACATTATTGTGACAATGGTCTCGGAGATTGCCCTTCCAGAATGGACAATAAGGGACTTTACTGTAGAAAAGGTGAGTACCCCATCACCTGTTGTGTACAAATAGCTGTAGAAGCGGTTAATCATATTATTGTGACTTCACATGTCAAGCAGCACTGGAGTGACAGAATCTAATATTTTCACTACAATGTAATCAAATTCAAAATTATCTGAAGGAAAAGGATAAGAGTTGTTTATTCTAATTTGAAGCTTTGTATGTATTGGTCTGCTTTCTGCCAAAAGTGTGATTTAAAATCTTTCATGCTATTTACTGCCAACAAGATTCCGGTGAGATAGATATATAGATATATATATATATATATGCATTTGTGTATGTGCCCTGGCTTCCCACAGCAGTATTTTAGTAACATTGCCAGAGGTGGGAATGAGTTGTTAGTAAGACCCTCCCTGTGGCAGAAAGGGATCTGCCAGCAAAATTCAGCCTGCTAATGGGAATTACCAGTTGCCCCATCAGTGATCCCATGGCTCATGTTTCCCTGAGACTTGCACCAAAACTTGTGCATATGCAGATATTTTTAATGTTTGCTAGACTGCATAATTAGCCCTATCTCTGTCAGCAAGTCTAATGCAGCAGAGGTTATCTTGGAGTAAAGTGAAAAGTAAAAGGATATTATTTCAAAGTGTTCCCTACCAGAGTGGAAGGAAGAGGGAAACTGAAATATCATGGATCAAATTACTGTACAGTTTGTAACAGGCATCTTTAATGAAGCTGAACTTTGCCTGGTACCTATGGCAGGAAGCCCCACTGTTGCTCCTCTGAAGCCTGTTTGCTTTCTTTTTTTTTTTTTTCATGTGTATTCCTCTAGTCCAACACAACAGAGAGCCACACAGTGCGCCAGTTCCATTTCACCTCTTGGCCAGATCATGGAGTGCCAGAGACAACAGACCTTCTCATCAACTTTAGACACCTCGTTCATGAATACAGCAGTCAAAATCCAATTGACTCCCCTACTCTGGTGCACTGCAGGTAGGAGGAGCATGTTTGTGTTAAATGCACTTTTATCTTGAGGCTTTTTTTAAGAACAGTTCTTTTTCAATGTGATTTTAAAAGAAAAAAAAGGAAAAAATAAGTCTCTCTGCTGAAGGACATGGGCTGTTCACCCTTCCAAATGAAAACCTTTTACCTGTGCTTCAGAAAGGTAGCAATGCTATGTAGGTAGCAAAGTATGTGATACAAAATTTCATTAGAATGGACTATCTTTCCTAGCCTGGAAAACTTAGCTGAAAAAGTTGTCTTCTCAAGTGCTTTTGTATGTAATCTTGTGCAAGTGGAAGGCTGGGAAGCCCAGAACCGTGTTTTCCCTCCCTCTTGGTGACAGCAAGAACCACCACTCTGGGCTGCAGAGTCTTGTGATATCTGTGCTACTGAAATAACAGAAGGCATCTTACTAGCTTCACTGGCTTTTCATCAGGCCACTGGTGAGCAGGTGGTTGAGAGAAAGCCATGCCTAGCTTCCCCCTGTCATTGCAGTGCTGGTGTCGGGAGGACGGGGACCTTCATTGCCATTGACCGCCTGATTCAGCAGATTGAAATGGAGAACACCGTAGATGTGTATGGAGTGATATATGATCTTCGCATGCACCGACCTCTAATGGTGCAGACTGAGGTAAGGCTGCCTTTCACCCAGCAGTGTCTTTTTCAAATGTGCGTAATAATCCAGGAAAGGTGGATTCAAGATGTAGCTCAGAATTACAGAAAGAGGAGATATTAAGGAGCAGTCTGAAATTGCTCTTTGTTTAACTTCCCTTCTTCCTGCCTCGTCTCTTCCCACAGCAGTAGTTGCAGCCAGGGGCTGTAGTGCATCCAAGCAATTTTAGAGTACTTTGTAGGACTGGCATTTGCAGCTGGAAAGAATCAAATCCTGAAAAAAATTCTTTTCCAGCTTGTTTTTTTACCCATGTGAGTTTTATCTTTACAGCTGTGAGCCAGAGTTTTCTTTAGGCAAGTGGTCTCGGTGTGCATCGTTTCTTTTGTGTTCTGCAGGAACACGTGTTTCTCCTGAAATTACCACTTTGGTCTGGATTAACTCAAGCTGATTTGGAAAAGGCTGTAAAATCTCTGTCATGAAAGTCTTGTAAGAGGGTGTTAGGCATGACAGTAAGTTTGATCTTAGTTTTTTATGAAGGTTTGAGGAGATGAAATCATGAGGTCCTTTCTAGCCTTATTTTCTATGAACTGTATGTACAACACCTAAAAAATACTCTGTGATAAAGTTCAGTGTAGTGCATCCAAAACCTGTATTCAGGAGCAGAATTACTTCCAAAATCAGGTATTTTCTAGAAATATTTTACCCTCCTTTTTCTTTTTCTCCCATCAGGACCAGTATGTCTTCCTAAACCAGTGTGTCATGGATATTATTAGATCCCAGAAAGAAAAGAAAACCGATCTTATTTACCAAAACACGACAGCAATGGCAATCTATGAAAATTTCACTCCTGAGCCAGGCTTCGGGAAGGCAAATGGCTACCACACATAGTCTGGAAGGAACGCAGTGTCTCCAGAAGGTGTTACCTGTGCATAGGAAAGGGAGATGTTCTACTTGTGTTTTCCAGGATTGTGTGCGGTGTCTCACGTCTGGCTTCTGCAGTTCTTTCCGCATTCGAAGATGTGATCTGCAGGAGGAAAAACACAATGCTGGCAGGAGCCACAGATTGATATTGAAAAAAAAACAAAAACAAAAAACAACAAACAAACAAGCAAAACTATTTAAGGTTAACAGAGGAATCTTGCTTTTTTTGGGGGAATTTAACAGTGCTGATAGGTGAAATAGCATTTACAGTATGAACAGTGAACTAGAATTTAAAAATTAAAATAATAACAAACTTTTTATTACAATTTTATATGATTTCATTTACAGATACCAGGCTTGTGAGCTGTTTTAATATATTTAATTATAAGTTTCAGGAACTTATTTTATCTACTGTATCTGGTTACTTAGCTAATAGATATGTGCCTCTGTGATCTATTTTTTTTCTGTGTTCCTTTTTATTTAAAAAAGGAGTACAAACAGCTCCTTCAAGTGGACATTTATACTTGGAAATTGTGCCTTTTCTAGTTGCTACTCTAGAAAAAAAACAGCAGAGATTCTATTTTTGTACTGAAACTCTTAAGAGAACACAGATTTTTAAATAAGGCTTATGTCAAATTTAACTGTAGTTGCACTGTTGGCAGGACTCTCCAGAAGTTTGGAGGTGAGCTTTGTTTTTGCATTTCACCACAAATATCCCCTGCCTTAATGTTTCGGTGCCTCTGCTAGAGGGAAAGGAGTGTGGTCTGTCACTCCGAGCTTTAACTGTAGTTTAAAAAAAAACACCTAAGCAAGTGAATATGTGAATGTGTGTGCGGGGGTGTATGGGGGTGTGTATGAAGGACAGAATAGCTCCTCCCTGTTCCTGGCTGATATTCCTGTTTTTATACAATTTATAATGATTTATTTAAAGGTGCAATATATGATTTACTGAATAATGATCACTCTATTCTAATAGAGTTTTACTCAGGTTGGTGTCTTTTTATCATTGTTGTTGTTTTTCCTCAAATATATAAATCTGTGAAAATGTTGAACTAAGGTTCCAAGTGTCCAAGCACTCCCAAACAGATTGACTGGCTTTACTCTTTCTGCCAAAACACATTGCACAAAATTCTGCTGTAAAGACCAATTTTTCGGTTGTTTTAGCCATTCAAAACTGAGACACATCTTACCTGCATGCATCTCATTGATCTAATGTAATTGTTTTATAATTATTTGCAATATACTGCTGCTGTTGTTTTAACTGATCCTTTTAGAAACAGAACAAACAAGCAGAAAACCCCTAGTTGCTGATTTTACAAGTCAGGGATTAGATTGGATTTATTTTGCTGGTACATAACTGTTAGACTTATGAAGGCATTACCAATGAAGGACTTCCTAAGTACCTGGAGGGGGGGAGGGGGTGGTTTTTGGTCTTCGGATCATTGCACTGGTTGCATTGCAGAGGAATATGAAGTTTATGAATAATGCTATAGAATAGCTATAAAGTGGTGAAAATCTTATGAAGGTTTAATAACCAGAATCCCTGGAATTCTGCTGCTCTTTTTGTTTGTTTGTTTTTTGGTTGTTTTAGCAGAGTTGTCAGAAAAAGCTACAGATACTAGGAGTATATGTGGCATTACAGTGGAACCTGGCAACCTTGCAGAATCCACTGTAAGCTGTATGAAAATGTAGGAATTCCTGGTGCACACTGTAACTTTACAGATATCCAGAGGAATTTTTTACAACCTGGTGTGAAATTGTGGTGTGCTGTGAGCAAAACTGGAGGACAAACCACAGTGCGCTTCGGCTCTCTTTTTTTTTTTTTGTTGCAGCCACTTGTGTGTTATTGAATTTTTTTCTTTCTTTCTCTGAAATACTTTAAAAGAAAAATTGAAAAAAAAAAAAAAACAAAAGCAACCTTAAACGCATTAATGATCCTGCCCAGCTCTGTCTAAACTGGCAGTTCACGTAGTGGATCTATCACCCAGCATTCTTACTAAGCTGCTGATAAATGACAAATAAAGATAAACCATTGGGACCAAACAGAACCATTCCAAAGGAACTGGGAGGGAGGAAAGTCTGCCCCTTAAAGTCACATTATTTTTTTTCTCTCTTAGTCTTTTAATTACTGCACATCTGTGCAGAGCACAGAGCCAGTATTCATTATTCCATGTCTCCCAAGAACTTGCTGCCCTAGGGTAGTGAATGTTCTCTTGCTTCAGAAGGCCCTTGTTTTGTATAGTACAGAAGAGAGGGAGATTAATGTTCTATGCTAGATCATGTGTTTGCATTCTATTGCAGCACAGCATCAGAAAACTAGCTAGAATGGTATGTGTTTCTGCCTAACCACTGCCCAGATACTCATATAGAAAACAAACATATCTGTTCTATTGCTTTCATGTTGGAAGCAGGTGCCAAATTCTTGCTTGTGTCGTCATCTAATGATCATCCATTTTTAATACAACTGTATGCATGTGTTTTCCCAAAACTGATTCCTTATGAGAAGAGATTGAAGTTTGAAGTAAACGACCCGCTGATCCCAGGTATAGGTGGAAAAAGTTGGTAAGGTTTAAAATGTAAACATGAAGTTGGCCATAGTGTCCATGTGAATAAGTAGGACATGGCTCATCAGATAGCTCTGTGGGAGGAGGAGGATTACAGGTAATGCTCTACTACCTTGTGGATCAGTCTTGGTCAGGGTGACTTAATTCCTGCAAATAACTCTTCCCTGCCTTCTGATGTTCTCTGTTACAATTGCTGAGATCTGTCTCTTTGGTCAGTGTTTTCTTGTGTTGTTGCTTAACTAAAGCTATCCACTTCTCAGGCTGAAAGCTCCACTGTGTGGCAATTACACCTCCTGCATTTCTGTTCTGCTCTTTTTCCCATTTGGGGCCTGCTTAAGAAGGGAAAAGTTGATGTGTTTCAAATAATTGACTGTTGAATATCTTGAAATGATGTACAAATTTTATTGTTTTCATATTTGTTGTACAGGAAATTTCAGCACATGTCTATAATGTTTTTAATGGTTTGATTTGTTTTTAAAGATATAAAAATAACAATTAAAAAGCATCATCCTAGAGCACTTTCTGTCTTGTTTCTTGGGGTTTTCTTTTCAATTCTTTCTGAATAAAATTAATTTGCCAAAATACCCGTTTAATTTAGAAGGACTTTAGAATGGAAAGTGGGCTCCCATCCTCTAGGGTGGCACTTGAGCTGGATGTGTATTAGTCACTGGGGCTCCCTACAAGGGGGTTCATCCGTCATTGAACCTTGCCTGGCAAGACCAGGGCCTGATGCTCATGTGTCCTGGCAATTGGTGGTTTCTCTAAATGAAGAGCTTGGTCCCAGTTTAAGCCATAATACTTTTCCTCCAAGGTCAATCAAAAGATTTCCACTAACTGAAATAGCCTTGGAGGAGGACTGGTGTTTCTAGGACTCATTTACTTCCAGAAAAACAAGAAGGGAGGATTTTTATCCCTTGAAGGGGGATGTTCTGTGGTCAGGGGAAGAAAATAGAAGGGGGTACAGAAATACCTTTGTCATGTTATAGCTGGCTTCTTGATTACAGATTTACCTGAGTGTAGGTGCATATAAAATTACCTCTGCTAAGTCAATTTCTTCTACAATTCTTAGTTTCCATTCCTGGATGCCATCTGAGTCACTCTCACAGAGGATCATGTGCCTGGAGGGTGATACTGGAACTCAGCAGCTCTCCAATTCCTCACGGGGTGCTGACACTTACTGTTGAATCTTGTGATCCTCCATGGTAACTCCGCTGCACTTTCTGAAACGACTGCATAGTGATACGGGAAGAGCAAAGTGTGATTGTCTCGTCATCTTCCAGTGGGAGCATGTGCCAGCCACACGATGGTTGTCTTAGTGAGACTTGTGCTGCAGAAGAAAAGCTGTGGCAATGAACCTCCCAGTGCAGGACCTGCAGCAGATGACCACTGCTGCCAGGAGCAGTCAGCCTCGGAGAGACTTTTTGGAAACAAAATTCCTCACTTAACAAAATTCCTTAAATCACATAGGTTCATTTGAAATACTAGAACTTCAGTAAAGCTAACTATTCTGGCTGTCATTGGAGTGTTAGTCTGTTCAGGTAGGTAGAGTTGAACCTGTGTATCTGGAAACCGTGTTCTGTACTTGCTCTTGTCATTTACTGGTTTTACTGCATTTGAGACTAAAAAGGTGGAGATCTGAGAGGAGTGACGTAACGTTTCTATCCTGTTCTTTGCTTGATAAATGGGACATAGTCAGAAATACTGCTGCCCTTGCATGCCTTTCCTGGCTGGGTGTTATCAGACAGTGAATAGAGTTTGGAGATGAACAGATGTATACGTTCTTGTGCAAGAGGGTCAGAAATAGGAGCTTGGAAGGGAAAAACACCTGAAAACTGCACATTCTGCTTTTCTCAAGCAAAAAGAAAAAGCCTCTTAGTGATGGGAAAGATGCTAGGTTTTAACAGCTCTAGCTGTTGAGTAAAAACGTATTTAGAAGTGCAGATACATTTCTTTTTGTCCAGGGGCAGAATGAGGGGCAAGCAAAGATCAATAGTTTATTTGCTTCTGAGGTTGGTAGGTACAGTGTTCTCCCACTTCTCATTCCCACCAGAGAAGTTACTCTACTTCCTTTTTCCAGTTACTGTGACACTGCTCCAGGGAGTCCGTTTCAGCTCTTAACGTAAGACCTTGTGTTGTTGAAACCTCTGGCTTTAAATGGTTTCATTTTCAGCACATTGCAGAAGAGTTTATGGAGTTGGTAACAGACACTGTCTATCTCCAGTGCTGTTCTTCATTCCATTCTCTCTCCTCAAGTTGGACAAAGTCTTTGCCCATGCCAGCCTCCTGCCTGTGAGGAAGGAGGAGGTAAACAAAGCTGGCAGAAGGGAAGGAGCTGTTTGTACTTCTCACCAGGGAAAGAAGCTGGTAGCCCCTCTCAGACTATTTCTTAGAAAAGACTCAGGATCCAGGCCTGGCCGCCTTTGTCCCTGTTACTTAACAGAACCCCATGTATAAACCCAGGAAAATCAACTTGAATGGATTTCATTTTAAATTACTGGACATCATCTCCTGCCAGCCAGAGCAAAGCTAGCAAATTATTTCCTCTCAGTGAGGACAGGTGGTCTAGTTTGATCCAAAGTGAGTTACTTTAACTTACGTTTTACCTCCAACTTTCCAAGTGACCAGGGAAAAGTCAGATTCTTAGGAACAATGTTCTGGACGTAATGCTGTGTTTCATGGACAACCCTAGTATATTAATAGTGCTTACAAGAAGATTGCTAGGGGTGCAAGAGCTGTGTGCTCGGGGCAGGGTGTTCTCCACACCATGCCATGTCTCTGCCCTTGTTTCAGTGCAGGGCAGGATGGGCAAGAAGGCATGTATCCTCTGTAAGGGATTTCTGGAATCACTTGGGTATCTTTTTTATCTGGCTGTTTTCTGATGTGCTCCCAGTGTTGAGAATGTACTATCATCAGAAGGAAAACAGGCTCTGTGACAAAGGCTGATCTAATGTCAGTTCTAATGAAGGTATGTTTCTACCTAAAAGATGATTGCTGTCTCTCCACAAAGGAAATAGATGCTGTTCATTTCTGCTTTAAGCCTCCAGATGGCACATGATACCACTGTTCTTTCCAGGGAAAGCTTTTCCTGCCAGGCTCACTTTTTCACTTCCTTCCCACATTCTGATAGCCTTCCTTCACCCCATGTGCTGCCTCCCCTTCCTTTTCCCCACGCTGTAGGTGCAAAGCCCCCTCCAGCCCTGGCCGGTGTCAGTGGTTAAGCCCAGGCCACTGTGCCTGTGTAAGGCTGTCTGCCTGCTCCACTGGGGCCAGGTACCTCATGCTCATCTGTAGAGTGTTGTACACCTGTCCTGGTCTGAGGTAAAACAGAACCAATTTTCTGTTCAGCAATTTTACTTTTTAGCTAAGCCTCTTCTAACTGACCAAACTCTCTGAAATCAATGGCATGTTTTTCAGGCAGTATCCGCTTCTAGCAGAGATAAGGCCTGATGTTTGTAGTTAACACCAAGGACTGGCATGCAGAGGGGGTCTTGCTTATTACTTATTGCTATAACAAGGTCAGCTCACTTTATTTGCCCTATTGGAGGGTGGGAAGTAGAAGAGTGTAGAGGGGTCACACCTGTGGGGAGGAGTGACAGGACAGGTGACCCTAAACTGACCAACAGGGCATTTCATCCCATCTGCATCATGCTCTGTACAGAAGCCGAGGGATCAAAGGGTCATCTCTCTTTCTTCAATGGCTGGTGTCAGAGGAGGACTCATCAGTTTGTCTGCCTTTGATCCCGATCTGTGCAGGCCTGAACCCGGTTCTCAAGTTCAGCTCCCATCTGTTACTGAGTCCAGTCTGGGATTTTCCCAGTGCCTGCTGGTGATGTTATGGTCATCCTGGGAACTTAATACTGGTTTTGTATATATTTCATTATTTTCTGATGTTATTATATTTTCTTTTATTATTTTATTATTAAAGTTTCATTAAAGTAGTGTAGCTTCTTTTAAACTCATAAGTTTCTCTCTCTCATTCTTCTCTCCCTGAAGGGAGATACTGGGGAGAGCATCTGTCGTTCGTTTCAGTGGCCATTCTGGCACCTGATCAGATGATTTTTTTTTCAGAAACTCTTCAGTTAAGCAATAACCCGATGATGCCAAATAATCCTTTGCTTCCTTGGGAGATGCTCCTACACTTGAGTCTTGCTGATACCTAGACATTTTCTGATGGTGTGCATAGTCCAAGGTGGAAAGGCTCTTGCTCGGACCAGCCTGAAGCTGGTAATTCAGCCTTGTTGGCTGTGTGCTCATTCCCCAGCTTATCAATCTGCTCTGCAGCTGTTTCCAGCAATAATGGATTTATAGGATTGCTTGAACACAGCGCAGATACATCAATAAAGACAGCAAACAACAATGTGCTTGCTTATACTGCTCAATACGAATAACAGTTAAAAGGCTATTTCAGTTAATGGATCTGTTTATGTGTGCATGTGTGTGTAACACTAACAGTGATTCTTCTGTGCCTTTTTTTACATAGGTCCTTTGGGAGGTTTTAAATGCACCTTTTAAAGCATCCGGCAACATCTGCTGAGTTACTTTGGCTTCTTCCATCTCCTGCCTGAAATACAGTGAGATTTCAATGCAAAGCTCTAGTGATAGATATATATGTTTTTTACAAGCACAGTTACAATGGAGATGGGTGTGTGAGGGAGCTTCAGCAAATGCTCTAAATTTACTGGAAGATGTAGCTACGACTACCCAGCTGCTTTACAAACCCTTCCGCCTTTGAAGGAGGAGTAAATCAAATCTAGGAATAACACTTTGCATCCCAGCTCCCCATGCTCGTATATCAGCACTGGCCCTGTGGAAGATCTGCCCTGAGCAGGGTCTGGCTGGGCAGGTTGGCACATGCTGGAGGAAAGCTGAGCTCTGGAGGCCATTTGTAGGCCATTTACCAAAACACAGAGGAAAAATGTCTTAAAAATAAGGATCGATCAAATCTTTAAAATTATTGCAATTTAATAATAAGCCATGTCTAAAGCTATTGAATTGGTTTTCTTTCGCATGGTGATCTCATGTGACTGAGATGCCAGCAAAATAGATATCATAGTGTTAGCTACAGTGAGCCCATCAATACTTTCATTAGTCAAGCTCACTTCCTAGCACATTAGTACCAGTCATGTTATTTCTGTTAAGACACTTCATGTTGCCACTTGGAATTTTTAAAACAAGCTTTTTGGGGTTTTAGAAAGTATTATCTTTAAAAAAATGCCACCAAAGAAAGATATTAACAGTTCCACTCTACCTGAAAAAAAAAATCTTTCTTGGGAATTTAATTTCATTTTATTTTTTTCCCCATTTGAACACTTTTTTAAAAGCAATTTAAATTGAAGATGAACATTGAGTGTTTCGATCAGGATTTAAGAGTATATTCCATTTCTGTTTCTCTAAAATGTGTTTTGTAGTCAACGGGACTGAAATATTGTGAAATCCAAAGAAAGCCCCAGTTTCAGTCACATGTGGAACAGGACCTTATCCCTGCTCCCCAACCCTTGCAAGTCAGACGAGAGAGGGA